GAAGTCCGAGCTGCAAAAGAGACACACGTGCACAGACCTGGGTGAACTGACAAGCTATCTTGGCTTGCGGATCACCCGGGACAGAGCACGCCGCACCATTACCCTGACTTAGTCACACATGGTGCAGCAGGTCCTTTAGCGCTTCGGCTTCACGTACTCCTCGCCTCAGTCCACTCCTCTGCCTACGGGACACTCGCTCTCAGCTCTGCCTTCGGATGAGTCCGTAGAGTCGAGTGTTCCGTATCCAGAGCTTGTGGGCTGCCTCATGTACCTGATGACCTGCACTCGACCTGACCTCGCATACCCTTTCAGCATCTTAGCACTCTATGTTGCTCCCGGCCGTCACCGGAAGGAGCACATGGATGCAGCTAAGAGGGTGTTGCGCTACTTGTGCAGTACGTCGGGCATGGGGCTAGTGCTTGGAGGGCGTGAGCGGCCTGTGCTCACTGGGCACGCAGACGCTTCTTGGGCTGACGATCAGGCTACTCAGAGGTCGTCTCAGGGTTACACCTTCAGTCTTGGCTCTGGCTCTGTCTCTTGGCGCTCTACTCGCTCTTCTTCAGTTCTCAGCTCCAGCTGTGAGGCTGAGATCTACGCCACGGCCATGGCTGCCCAGGAGCTTCGCTGGCTCACCTACCTGCTGACTGACCTTGGAGAGCGGCCTCGTTCTCCTCCAGTGCTGTACGTCGACAACAAGGCAACCATTGCCTTGTGTGAGGAGCACAGACTGGAGCACAGGACGAAGCACATTGCTCTACGCTACTTCCTTGCTCGAGAGCTGCAGCAGCGTGGTCAGCTTCGCCTGCGTTTCGTGGCCACTGAGACCAACACTGCTGATGTGTTCACCAAGGCACTTCCGCCTCGTGACCATCAGCGCTTTTGCACTCTGCTAGGCCTTGTGCCCACTGGGCCTCACTTGCTTACCTCTTGACCTTGCTTGTACTGCTGCATATATATATCCTTGCTCTTGCTTGTTTAGCACTGTTATATATATATGCTCTGCTGCATGTGAACTGGCCTTGTGGCCTTGACCTCGTGCTCGGAATTTGTGTGGTATCCTTGAGATCCACCCTGAGCTTGCTTTGCTTTGCTTTGCTTTGCCTGACTGGTCTTGTGACCCCTTGCTCTCCCCCACTTTGCCTATGGGGGTGTGTCAGATGATTATATTACTGATGCATATATTTAGGCTGTAGTGGGGTAGCCCATAGGGGGTACAACCCAATTAGGGTTGGTACTTGTACTTGTTTCACTTCATAGTGCACTCATTCCTCGCCTCTATCTTAACAAAAGGGGCGGCGACGGGGCCGCAAGTGGCAGCGACGGGGCCGCTGGAGGCGGCGACGGGGCCGATAGGGGCGGCGACAGGGCCGCTAGGGTCGGCGACGGGGCCGCTAGGGTTGGGGACGGGGCCGATGGAGGCGACGACGGGGCCGCTGGCGGCGGCGACGGGGCTGATAGGAGCGGCGACGGGGCCGCTAGGGTCGGCGACGGGGCCGCTGGCGGCGTCGACGGGGCCGATAGGGGCGGCGACGGGGCCGCGAAGGGGCCGCGAGGGGCCTGGAAGGGTGGCGACGGGCCGCAAAAGGGGCGGCGACGGGGCCGCGAAGGGGCCGCGAGGGGCCTGGAAGGGCGGCAACGGGGCCGCGAAGGGGCCGCGAGGGGCCTGGAAGGGCGGCAACGGGGCCGCGAAGGGGCCGCGAGGGGCCTGGAAGGGCGGCAACGGGGCCGCTAAGAGTAGCGCGAGGGGCACGCCACGGGGCGTGCCGAACACAGAGTAGCAGCGGAAGCAGTTGAGTGGGCCCACATGCCAGGACCGTAGATGCTCTGATAGCATGTGAAAACTAAGTCGAGTTTGGCTTAGAAGCCATAGTTTAGGAGTAAGTTTAGTGATCGAGTTGTAGGGTGTAAGGAAAATGTCGAGAGATTTTAGAAGGAAAATGTTGAAACTAGAAAGGAGGGGGATACAAGTAGTAAGCCCTAAAAGGGTTATACTCACTTTTGAGTACCCAACTACAGGCTAGATAATTATAACATTCTGACAGTGGGGTACTCTATAGCGAGTACAGCCCAATTTAGGGTTTCCTATATGTACTCAACTGCTTGCTAGTGCAACCCTCCTCCTTTCTTCATTCTTGTTTCTGACTACTAGTTCTGACAGGTAGTGGGGTATTGCGGTAACCGCATACGGTTGCTAAGTAGGGTGGGCCCGGAAAAAAAACGGTCCTACGGACCTACTGCTCTTAAAACCATGTCAAGATAGCAAGCAGGAATGACAAGGAGGAAGACACCGCAGAGGAGGACGCGGAGGCGGCGGCGGCAGAGGAGGACGGGGTCGTGCTTGAGGAAGGCGAGGAGGCAGAAGAGCCCAACGATGACGAGTGGTGGCTGTCAAACTCATATGTTGCATGTTGTGTAGGTTGTAGTGGGGTAGCCCATATGGGGTACAACCCAATTAGGGTTTGCTATTTGTACTCCTGCATGCTATTTGTACTCTGACAGAGGTGGTGAGTTTGCCTCTGACCTCTTGCGGGACTTTTGTCATGGGGAGGGCATCACCCAATCGTTCACGCTTCCGGCCTCTCCGCAGTAGAATGGTGTTGCTGAGGGCCGCATTGGCTTAATCATGGAGGTCGCTCGTACCTCCATGATCCATGCGGCTGGCCCCCATTTTCTGTGGCTGTTTGCGGTCCAGTATGCTGCGCATCAGCTCAACCTCTAGCCCTGTGTCTCCTTGCCGGAGACCTCGCCGACACTGCGTTGGACGGGAGAGGTTGGCGATGTGTCGGTGTTCCGGGTCTGGGGCTCTCGTGCGTTTGTCCGCGATTCTTCCGCGGACAAGCTTTCCTCCCACGCCATTCCCTAGGACTTCCTTGGCTTTCCTCCTAACGCGCCTGGCTGGCAGTTTTACCACCCCACCTCGCGCCGTGTCCTGCCCTCTCAGGACGTCACGTTTGATGAGTCAGTTCCCTTTTACCGTCTCTTCCCCTACCGCACTGCCCCGCTCTCTCCCCCCCCCCCCCCTCCGCCGCTCTTCTTTGCACCAGGTCCTCCTCTGGCAGACCCCCTCCCCCCTCAGGGTCCTGCTCCCTCAAGTGTGTCCAAGGTAGACCTCGTCGAGCCTATCGAGGTAGTTGTCGACTCTGGTGCTGCTAGGGGTGTTGCGTCTGGGGGTGCTGAGCCTGTGTGTGCGGAGCCTGGTGGTGCAAAGCCTGGGGGTGCTGGGCCTGAGCATGCAGAGTATGAGGGTGGGGAGCTTGGGGGTGCTGAGTCTGAGCGTGCGGAGCCTGGGGGAGCTGAGCCTGGGGGTGCTGAGCCTGAGCGTGTTGAGCCTGTAGGTACCTTGTCTGCTGGTCTTCCTATGGGTGCCTCGTCATGGCAGGAGCCTCTCTCTCCACAGCAGCTACGCGAGTGGTCTGCTCGGCGTTGGAGCCTTCGGAGTGGTGGTACTGGAGCTGGCGGGCCTACCGCTGGAGGCCCTGGAGCTGGAGGCACTGGAGCTGCTGGTCCTTGAGGTGCTGGGGCTGCTGGTCCCGGAGGTGCTCGTACTGGAGGTACTGGAGCTGCTGGAGCCGGTGGTGCTGCAGGCACTGGAGCTGGAGATCCTGGAGCTGGAGGCGCTAGAGCTGGAGGTACCAGAGGTATAGGAGCTGCTGGTCCTGGCGGTGCTGGAGGTCCTACGGGTGTCCCGTCCCGGCGGGAGCCTCTCTCTCCACCGCAGCTGCGCGAGTGGTTTGCTCGGCGCTAGAGAAGTCGGAGTGGTGCTGCTGGAGCCGGGGGGGCTGCCGTTGGAGGCCTTGGCGCTGGAGGCACAGGAGCTGCTAGTCCTGGAGGTACTGGAGGTGCTGGAGCCGCTGGTCCAGGAGGTGCTCGTACTGGAGGTACTGGAGCTGCCGGAGCTGGTGGTGGTGGTGCTGCTGGAGCAACTAGAGGTGCTAGCGGTACAGGAGTTGCTGGAGGTGCTAGAGCTGCTGGATGCACGTCATTCTAAGTGCATGTCATCCTAACGTCCTGCCGAGTGCTCGTGCTATTTGTGCTTGCATGATTTGCATGAGCGTATGTCATTGTGCATGGCTGTTGGATATTATCATCTCTGTGTTTTTCTCCAAGTCTTAAATGCTTGATCATGCAGGAGAAATCCAGAGCTTTCCAACGACACCAAGATCGCCTTATTCCGACCAAGATCGCCCGAGTTACAAGATTTCCAAGACTTGGATTTCTTATCACCTTTTAGGGTTATATCTAATTTGGGTGATTCCTTGGACATGACTATAAAGGGATCTTTGGTTGGGTGGTTAGGAAGGCAACTTTGACTTTTGGTTGGGGTGGCTAGAAGTTTCTACCATGGGTTGCAAATGTTGCAACACCTAGGCAAAATCCAACTAGATTGGATTTTGCATGTGACACCTCAAGGACCTCATGATGAGGGTTGCATCCTTGCTGCTAGGAAGGTTCCTACCATCCTTCCCTAGCTCTTGGAGAACCTCTTCTCTCTCATGGTTCTCTTGGAGTCCCCAACTTCAATTTTCTATGCTCTAATGTTTGTACTTCCTCTACCATTCTAGTCATGCGGCTGCTGGACGTTTTTACATGGTTCTCACTCTCTAGACCATCTTAACGACTGATTTAACTTGGAGATGGTAGCTAAGCTTAAGGCGCAACTTCATACCGAGTGGATTTGCGTTTAGTTGAGTAATGAGTTCGTCGTAAGCTCTCAAATTGACGGATCCTGAACAACAAGTGGTATCAGAGCGGGTAGCCTACTTCGAGACGACGAATCGTCGTGAATTCTCAACCAATGATGTCGAGTGAGACCATTTTCTAGTAGCTTTGCTTGCGAACTTTCGATTGGTGATCAAACCGCGTTCTAATTCGAAGTATCGAGTCCGCGACGGCGTGTTTCGTAGAATCGAAATTTCTAGTAGAGTTCTCTCCAAACGATTTCTCAAGTTTCCACCGTTCATAAGGCCTCAATATAATTGGTACGAACTCCGGAGGTGCTAATGGCGAGATGGATAGAAGTAGAGAGGCTGGAGAGCAGGGGGGAGTTGCTGGTGGAGGAGTGGGGACTCACCAACCAGCCAGCCCTACGCTACCTACGTCTACTACACCATCTCCAACAACTGTGGATCTCGTGAAGGCGTTCTCTATTGAGAAATTCATGGGGGAGGACTACGAGCACTGGAGCTTCCGCATGAGGCTGATGTACACCCAATACAAGCTATTGGATCTGGTGGAGGGGAAGGAGAAGATGCCGGAGGCCGCGGAGCTGAAAGGAGCGTGGATGAAGCGATCGTTCGACGCGTACATGCTAATGGTGCAAGCGGTTGGCGGATGACAACTTGACCACATCAAGGACCTCTTGGGTGATCCAGAGTGTGGCCCCAAGGCTTGGAGGAAGCTTTTGGATGTGCACTCACCGACACATGCTACCGGCATCGTGCTACTCGCGCGGCGGCTGCGCGACATCAAGTTCGTTGATGGAGAGCCGATGCAACCGGTGTTGGATAAGATGCGGGACATCTTCACGAAGCTCCAAGGAGGCGGTGTGGTGAACCCGGAGCTCGTGCAATGTGTGGAGATCGTGATACGGCTGCCGGAGTCGTGGTCTGCCCTAGCGATCAACCTCAACTCCCAACAACCCCAATGGAGCGTGGATTACATTCGCGTGCGCATCCTAGAGGAGGACTTGCGGCGGCGGAGTGTGGAGCGCTCGGAGGAGGGGGCTGGCTATGGAGTTGGAGGTGGAAAGAGTGGCTTCAAGAAGAAGTGGAAGGGCAAAAACAAGGACAACCCTAAGGAGGATGGCGGCGGGGGTCAAGGGGAGGTGTGCTTCTACTGCAAGAAGCGCGGACATCGTTGGCGGAAGTGCTACCAACGACCCAAGGATTGGACCCCGCCTTCATCGAGCAACCTGCGTGGTGGCAAGAGGAGTGGGGGAGTCATGGGAGCTAGTGGAGAGGAGAAGGAGTAGGAGAAAGGCGGCAAATCTGAGGAGCGGAAGGCCGGGTTCTTCTTTTTCGTGAACGAAGGCGCAACCGACCTCGCTATGGCTGCCAAGGTTCTCCTACAACCCCTCACTCATTGGGTGATTGACTCGGGAAGCTCCTGGCACATGACTCCTCGTGCGGACCTACTCGATGAGATTCAGCCCGCACCTATCCCTACGGTCACATCCGCGACGGGCGCCAAGGCCAAGGTCATGAGCATGGGATGCGCCAAGTTCATGGGAGCGGATAGAGAGCTCGTGGGGCTGAAGAATGTGCTGTGGGTGCCGGACTTGTGCGCGAACCTGATTTCTACCGGCCGGTTGGGAGATGCGGGTGTGAACACCGAGACGATTGGCTCGGAGCGCTATCGTGCTTACAACGATGAGCGCCTCATTTGGGACCTGCAGTGGAAGGGAGATGTCCACAAGCGGATGTGGCAGATCCCGGTCCTCCCTTGGCGGAAATCGGGCAAGGCGGCAGCGGCGGCATCTATGGAGGAGAGTGTCACCGAGGAGGAGCAGCAAGGTGTGCAAGGAGAGGAGCTGATTGGAGGAAGCGCGGCGGTGAAGGCGTCGGCTACCTCGGGCCAAGCGGATTGGGAGACTTGGCATCGGCGGCTCGCACACGTGGCTGTTTCAACACTGGAGGTGATGCATAAGGAGAAGTGCGTGCATGGGCTGCAACTGCAAGGAGATGGCGCTCACTATGGCAGCTGCGAGGCGTGCATGCAAAACAAGTTTGCGCGGTTCCCGTTTCCACGTGCGGAGGGATCAGCGAAGGCGCCGCTGGAGGTGGTGCACATGGACCTGGTGGGTCCTATGAGGACTGAGGGGACTGGGGGAGTGCTGTACTTCCTTACCATGGTGGACGAATGGAGCCGTTTCACGTGGGCGCGTCCCTTGTCCAAGAAGAGCGATGCTGCAGCGGCGATCAAGGAGGATTGGTTGCCGATGGTGGAGCGGCAAGCGATGCGGCTGGTGAAGGTGCTGAGGAGCGACTGAGGTGGAGAGTTCCTTGGAGCGGAATTCACCAATTTCCTCAAGAGAAATGGCATCCGGCATCAGCTGACTTGCCCCGGAACACCGCAGCAGAACGGCATTGCTGAGCGTGCCAACCGGACCATTGGCGAGGCGGCTAAGACCTTGTTGGGGGCTGCTAGGATGCCCTACAAGTTCTGGCCTGATGCCGTTAGCCATGTCATCACGGTCAAGAACAGGGTCTTGACTCATGTTGGCGACAAGCATTGGGTGCCGTACGAGCGTTGGCTTGGGAAGAAGCCATCCATTGACATGCTACGGGTATGGGGCTACATGGGGCTTGTGATGGTGCCTAAGGAGCAGAGGCACAAGCTGGAAGTTGCTACTGTGTGGGCTGTCCATCTTGGGATGGCTCCTGACTCGAAGGGGTGGCTGATGTGGGACCCCAAGAGCAAGAGGACGCTGGTCAGTCGTGACGTCAAGTTTGTGGAGGACGTCATGTACAAGGATTGGTAGCAGCAGCAGCAAGTGCAGATTGGTTTGCGTCTGCAGGAGATTGAGCGGTCTGTAGTGGAGGAGGTTCAGCTGCACCTTGAGGATCTCCCTGGGTCAGAGCTGACCAGTGACCACAGTGGCGGTGGTGAGCAGCAAGTTTCTGGTCCTGCTGCGGAGGAGGGGTTGGAGGATGAGTCGGCACGTGTGGACTCACCATCTCAGCCCGAGCCTGCAACAAACGCCAAGGTCACCAAGAGGAGTGTGCAGAGAGGAGCTTCACCACATGGGCAGCAGATTGCAACCCGCGAGAAGAGAGTGGCAGCAGCACCCTCAAGGCTGAAGTATAGCCGTTTGGGAGGACCCAAGCAAGGTGCCATGGCGGTTCAGGCGGATGAGGGAGAGGATGAGGAGATGGCGTTCTGTTTCTTCACACCCTTGCCTGGAGAACCAGCCACAGTGGAGGAGGCACTGAGTGGACCCCAAAAGGAGGAGTGGAAGGCTGCCATGGATGCGGAGTTCAATAGTCTCATTGAGAATGGGACTTGGGAGCTTGTTGAGTTACCCGAGGGGCGACGACCGATCAGCAGCAAGTGGGTCTTCAAAGTGAAGAGTGGTGCTGATGGCGCGTTGGAGCGGTTCAAGAGCCGCTTGGTCGCCAAGGGGTTTCAGCAGAAAGAGAAGGTCGACTTCGGGGAGATCTTCGCTCCCGTTTCTAAGCCAATGACATTGAGGACTTTGATGGCTGGCGCAGCTGTGAAGGGATGGCACGTGAAGCAGATGGATATCACCACTGCGTTCCTCAATGGAATACTGCTGGAGGATATATACATGGCGCAGCCCGACGGCTATGAGGATGGGACCAGCCGGGTGTGCAAGCTTAAGAAGGCCATCTATGGCCTTAAGCAAGCGCCCAGGTGTTGGTACGAGAAGCTGGAGGAGGTGCTGCTGGGTGGAGGCTTCAAGACGTCCCAGGCGGATCACAGCTTGTTTCTGCTTGGAGAGGGGGAGCAGCTGCTTTTGCTGCTGGTGTATGTCGATGACATAGTGCTGTTCTCACCTTCCATGGAGCAGATTGAGAGGACACAGAAGCTCCTGATGGACAACTTCAAGTGCAAGATGCTGGGGGATGTCCACTACTACTTGGGGCTGCAGATTGAGAGGGATGTTGAGAGGAGGTGGCTGAAGGTGCATCAGTCACACTACATCTCTGGTGTCATGGAGCGGTATGGTGTAACTGGGGGTCGCACTGTGATGACACCGTTCCCTGCAGACTTCAAATTGAAGAAGGCAGCTGAGGAGGATGATGTGCTTGAGGATGAGCAGCAGAATGAGTACCAGTCACTCATTGGGAGTGTGATGTATGCAGCTGTGCATACGCGACCTGATGCTTCGTTCGGAGTGGGGCAGCTGGCCAGAGTTGTGCAACGGCCCACTGTGGAGCAGTTGGAGGTGGCAAAGCGCTTGGTGCGCTACCTTGGATCAACGGCATCTGCTGGTGTTCAGTTTTCAGCTGGCGGCCAGCTGAAACAGATTGGAGCAGATGGGGTCACGCCTGGTACCTTGAAGGTGTCGTGCTTCACCGACGCCACATGGGCCTCAGAGAATGAGGATCAGTCATCGGTTGGCGGCTTTGTCTGCATGGTCGGAGGTGGACCAGTGAGCTGGAGGTCCAAGAAGCAGAGTGAGATTGCTCAGTCTTCCGGAGAGGCAGAGTACATGGTGATGTACCATGCCATCAAGGAGATCGTGCTCCTGAGGAAGCTGCTGGAGGACATGGGAGCTGAACAGGAGGGAGCTACACCACTTTTCTCCGACAGCGAGGCTGCTATTGGCATGGCCAATAATCCTATCCTGAATGGGCTGAACAAGCACATGAAGGTTAAGTGGCACTGGGTGAGGCAGATGGTGAAGGATGGAGCTGTTGAGCTTCACCATGTGAAGGCTAGCAAGCAGGCGGCAGATTTTCTCACCAAGAGACTTCCCGAGAGCGCACATTGGAAGTGTGCTAAGATGTGTGGCATGGCATTGCATTAGTGTGGGCAGCAGTGTCATGAGTGCATGTGTGATTGCGTGCATGAGAGTTTGCATTTGTGTGACTGTGTGTGCATGCAGTCCGTTAGTCTGAGGGGGAGTTTGTTGGATGCACGTCATTCTAAGTGCATGTCATCCTAACGTCCTGCCGATTGCTCGTGCTATTTGTGCTTGCATGATCTGCATGAGCGTATGTCATTGTGCATGAGCGTATGTCATTGTGCATGGCTGTTGGATATTATCATCTCTGTGTTTTTCTCCAAGTCTTAAATGCTTGATCATGCAGGAGAAATCCAGAGCTTTCCAACGACACCAAGATCGCCTTATTCCGACCAAGATCGCCCAAGTTACAAGATTTCCAAGACTTGGATTTCTTATCACCTTTTAGGGTTATATCTAATTTGGGTGATTCCTTGGACATGACTATAAAGGGATCTTTGGTTGGGTGGTTAGAAATGCAACTTTGACTTTTGGTTGGGGTGGCTAGAAGTTTCTACCATGGGTTGCAAATGTTGCAACACCTAGGCAAAATCCAACTAGATTGGATTTTGCATGTGACACCTCAAGGACCTCATGATGAGGGTTGCATCCTTGCTGCTAGGAAGGTTCCTACCATCCTTCCCTAGCTCTTGGAGAACCCCTTCTCTCTCATGGTTCTCTTGGAGTCCCCAACTCCAACTTTCTATACCCTAATGTTTGTACTTCCTCTACCATTCTAGTCATGCGGCTGTTGGACGTTTTTACATGGTTCTCACTCTCTAGACCATCTTAACGACTGATTTATCTTGGAGATGGTAGCTAAGCCTAAGGCGCAACTTCATACCGAGTGGATTTGCGTTTAGTTGAGTAATGAGTTCGTTGTAAGCTCTCAAAGTGACGGATCCTGAACAACAAGAGCTCCTGGAGCTGGTGGTGCTGCAAGTGTTGGAGCTGGAGACCCTAGAGCTGGAGGTGCTGGCGCTAGGGGTGCTGGAGCTATCGGTACTAGTGCTGGAGGCGCTGTGCAGCGGCGACTGTTTTTCGTTCCGCCGTTGCCGTCGTCTCTGACGCCTCCTGGCTCGGCACTTCGCTAGGTTCTTAGTCTCTCGTCTTCTATTGGCCTTACTCCTCCCTTGGTGTGTCCACCGCCTGACCAGTTGCAGCCACAGCTACAGCCAGACTCCCCACTGCCTGCTCCTTCTCCTTACACTGAGCAGTCAGACTCTCTTACACAGCGTCGTGAGCCTGCGTCTTCTGGCCACTGTTTTCACTGACCCTTCGTTTGAGTCCACTGCTGCGTCTGCCCTAGTTGCTGGGCTTGTTGACTTTGCTGTTGCCTGTCGTCTCAACTACGCCGCTAGTCTTGTTGCTAATTCTGGGTCTTTCTGTCCTCCTTCCGTCGGGGGTGAGTATGCTCTTGGCACGGACGTCCTTGAGGACAGGCAGGAGGACTTTGAGTGGTTTGCAGCTGTTGTACCTCATCTCGTGTCCATGCTGATTGC